AGAGGAGAGGAGAGAAGAACCCCTGGCCCCCCGTGGGGCCAACAGCAGCCCCAGGCCACCGGCCACACCGACAGCAGCCAGAGGCAGCTCATGGTGTAGCACGGCCATGCCCAGGGCCAAGCTCTCGGCACCGCTCGCGTGGCACGTCCCTACCTGAGCTGTGTGTGTGGTCAGTAGTCAAGTGCGGCCAACGTGGCACGACTGCAGGGCTGGCGCAGGCTGCCAATCCGGCGAGCGAAGCACTGAGGCAGGAGTCGCACCCACCCCTGGACGGCAGCTCAAAGCTGCCCAGGTCTTGCTGTGTGTCTGTCGCCTTGGGTGCAGAGGGGGAAGTGAAACCTAAACCACAGAGGGGCCAAAACCCACAAACCGCAAGCGCGCAGGGCAGGCAGGGCTGTGCTGCCGAGTCCCTGCGCAGAGCATGGCAGCCAGGAGGGTCAGCAGCGGCCCCAGGGTTCCTCAGCTGGCCAGGGCTGACCACGGATGTTCCTTCAGACCAAGTGCATTTGAGGTGGCAATACTGCACCGTGGTGCGGGAGGGGGCCTGAGGGCCAGCACCAGGCAGGGGTGGCTGGTGGGGGGTCTCCGTGGTACAGCGGCAGATATGCTCTCGCCCGGGTTTGGCGGTTCGGGCTGAGCTGGGAACACTGGGCACCCTTTGGCTCAAGGGCTCAAATGCAAGTGCCAAGGGAAACGCAAACTGTTAACCCACATTACTGTCTCAACTGCTGTTAGCCAACACCATTAACCAACGCCAGCCAAGAATGCCTCTGTCACGTAGGCAGATCCCTAAACTCACCACGCAGGCTGCGCACCCAGCAGCCCCCCGTCGATGTCAGACAGCAAGGCAGTCTTCCTTTGAGGTGGCAGCCACAGAAAAGCATTTACTGCCTGGCACCAGCAAACACAATGGCCAGGGCACCCGGCTGCACCTGACACGCACTGGGGTTTAGTGCTGGCTGCCTGGAGCCCTGACCTTCACCGAGGAGTTTGGTTTAGAGCGTGGATGGAGCCATTCTTCCTGTTCAGGGCGACACAAACCCAACTGGCAGCAGGGCTGGGGCACAGGGCCCCTGGCTGTGTCACTCCTCTCTTCCCCCGTGCAAATACTGCTAACACAGCGGGGCTACAAGGTCTATCACCTGCTTAAAATTGAGCAACTCAGAGAGCACATCAGGCCAACAGTAAAACAAACACCCCCGTGCTGCCTGTTTGCAACTGCTGCTTTTTAACAGTGGGGGCAGCCCCACGGGAACCCTGCTGAGCCTCTTCCCTGGCTGCTGTCTGGCCCAGTCTCTCCCAGGACCATCATGTTTTAAGGCTTCCCTGCCCAGCACCTCTCTGCACTAGGGCTGTCCACAGGCCTTTGGTTCTTCTGGCCTCCCCAATTAATCCAGAAGGCAAGTGTCTGGCAACAGGAGCGCCCGATTCAGACACAAAACAAAGCAGAGTTACACCTACTACTCATTTTATTGTATTTTATTTGCATAAACAAACTTCAGGGCTTTGCTAAACAGGAACTGTTCAAGTCAAAACAAACCAAACTCTAGTTGGTGTGTGGGGGGAAACAGCACAGCAATCCTGGGGAAGGGAAGGAAGGCAGAGGTGGAGAGCAGAGGGAGAGCGGTGTCATTACAGCACGTGCACACTCAGCGTCGGTGCATGGACATGCCTCTCCTGCTACGAAGGCTCACTGACTCAGCCAGAGAACTATCTGCAAACTTCTTCAGAATATTTTTAATTAGAAGATAAAACGAAATACATCATAACGGCCGTCCTTAACCAGCACAGGAGGGATTTGCCTTTTGTTTTTATAAAAAGATTAATAAAAAATATTGAAAAATTTTCATCTCCTTTTATATTTTTAACCTAGTAGAATTCTGAAGTTTCTTAGAAAACTATGTTACCTTGGAAAGAGCACTCAAGTTCACAACCAGCTGCAAAGAGGATACACAAAATGCCTACAAGCAGTTTGGGACTCCAGCACACACCAGGCCTAACAGTGTACACAAACAGTGGTGAGAAGTAGGGTGGTTTTTTTTTCTTTTTTAAACCATGCTAATTTTGTTAACTTTCAACATAAAAGGAAAACAGTAATTTTTAAAAGGCCCTAAACTCAACTGTTACATAAAAAAAAAGTTTAAAAAAATCATAGCAGTTTGGTCCCAGCAAGTTAACATTTAGATGTTTATTCACATGCTTCATTGTTTTCTTATTTATAAGAACCAAAAATAGTTTCCAAAATTATCATTTAATTGATGTTACTACATACGTAAAGGCCTAAAATAAGCAGAGTATGAATTTTAAAAATTGAATACACAATAGGGGAGAAAAATTTGAACCGGTGAGTTAATCCCCACCTTTACTATTTCAAATTATAAAATAGAAACAAAAATGTCAAGACTATTGGGTTAAGATGGGCACAAACCAAAATCCACATTGTCTTCAAAGTCTGTTACCAAAAGAAATAACCGACCATTCAATAAGGTCACAGACGAGAGAAAATCTAGGATCTCACCCACTACTTGACCTTATTCAGTCCAGAAGGTAAGTCTTTGGGAAGATAGACTCCATGAGTGGATCCAAGCATAAATGACATATCAGTTCTAGTCCACACTTAGGGAGGCTGAACTCTGGAAATGCAGTTAACTTCGGGATTGTTTCAGAGCCCCTCTCCGGGGCTCTGCTCAGCACTGCAGAGTCACCCTGGCAATCTCCAGCACTAGCACTGCGCTGAACCCCTCTCCTCCTGCCAGGGCTCTGGAATCACGCAGACACTGCAGCTATTCAGCCGTCGTCTGTAAGGTGTCTTTCTCCTCCCTGTTTTCTGTTCCACTTTCATCATCTTCGATTTCTCCTTCTTCTCCACTGAATTTGTCATGAGCCCACTTGGGGCTGGTGCTTGACTTTCGGAACATGAAGCGACCTCTTCCTCGGGGGAAAGCACCCCGACCACGGCCTCTGTTCACCCACTTGTCTGCACCTTCGCCCTCCCGGTCATCGTGCTGCACAGGAGGAAGCCAGTGACACCAGTTGAAACAGACTGACTACTCAGCGCAAGAGCATGAAAACTCTGGCTCGTGCTACGCAACCCTGCGGCACAAACCAGATTGCCATGTTTATGACATCTAAAGAGAAATACTGGCTCGTTTTGGGGAAGAACAACGGCAGATGAAGGCAAGAACGCACAATCACTACACAGGCTCCTGCGCATGGTGACCTGTCCTTGCTGACAGGAAGGTCTCTAGAATACTTAGGGGTGGGCAGGGGATGGGTGTCTAGGCCTGGAGTACAATTGCTGGTTCTGCAACTCCATGATTTGGATACTCTACACCTTTATCTCCTTGCCAATCAAACCACTCCAGCAGCTTCAGCTCTTACTGCTGGGTACTCAAGGAGTTTAATAACACGTGCCACTTTCAGGAATGCTTTGCCTGTGCTAAGGCAGATGCAGTTGGTGCACTGACACAGACCACGTCACTGGGCTCAAACTGATCCATTTCTGTACTTAAAGTGCAGTGTAGAGACTGGGTACCTCAAAAAACTACAATTCTGCCTTCAACAAGATCAGAGAAAAACACACTAATAAAATCAAGGCTTTCTTGTTTAGGTACAAAACTGAAATACTGCATTATTTAATGAGAAGATCAGGGACCTCAAGTACTCCAAATCAGGAAGAGAAAAAATGAGTTAGTGTCTGTTTAAAACTGCCCCTTTTTCAAAGAACACAATCAGACGGGATTCTCCTAGATTAATGCCTCAGTATGGCAGGCTGCTATCACCAGAAAACAAACAAAAATAAAGGAACAGTGCTAAGCCATCCAGGAAGCTGGATGCTTTATGAGGATAGAAGAACCAAGAAATGTAGGCCATCTGTACCACAGACTAACAGGTTTAAGCTACATTTTCCACCACACTGTGAAACATGTGCTCCTTAACCATGGCCTTTAGGATTTGAATTAATGGCAAACCAGTCTACAATGAACAGAAACAAGTTCTCTTTAGCTGTAAGTCAGGAGCTTCTCGTGAAGAAGTGCCACGTGAAGCCTTAACCAAGCAGATTAGATAGTTTAATGACACCTGGCACCTTCACCTCTGAAGTACTTAAGACCAGATATACCTGGAGTGTATATACATGTTTCAGCACTTCAGACACATACCAAGTAGTACTTCTTGCTCTTAGGTGTGTACTCTGGATCCCACTCCTCATCTCTGTTTCGCTTCTGGAAGTCATTGTTGCCACCGCTGTTGCTGTTATTGTTGCCTGAGAAGTTGCCTCTGCCCCATCCTCTCCCTCTTGCTCTGAACTGCTGCAACAGCAAAACATGGAACAAAAATAAAACTGTTGTGGTGGCAGTGCCCTCCCACCCCAGACAGCTTCCAGGGCTACCAAGAGATACAACATCACTTCTCTAACCATTCAAGAACACCTTTAACTTAACACGAAAATACGAGTGCATTTTAGAGTTTTCTAGCTCATCTGATCACACAGTGCATCAGTCTCTATAAAACTGTTTAAGATCATGTAGAGGCATTTCCAGAGCACCCAAGAGAAAGCATCTGACAGATACAATATGCACATAAGACATCTATGTAGCTAAGGCATAAGAATTGCAAACAGTAAGTGTGGTTGTAACCAGATGAGACATTTTGGTAGCCTAACCCAAACCAAGTGATGCACGCCACGCTGCCCTTCGGGGTTGCTCAGCAACTACTAATGCACAAGAGCTTCTAGGCTTGATTCTGCTCCATGAATCTTGATTTCAACTGCCCAGACTATATTCTCGGCACCCGGATTTGTGCTCCAGACCTGGAGTGATCATATTGTGACTCATCATCCACAACCAGACAATGTCTTTGGGGTTTCTCTTTTACAGTATGCTTTAACTGTGAAAGAGCAATACACAATGGCCATTTTTTGACTACTTTGGGGCGGCGGGGTGAACACTTACAAAGGTCCCTCTAGCTCTTCCTCTCTCATTTGGACCAGTGAATTCTTTAGTCCCAAGTCGGGACTTGTCAAAGCCTGTGGTGCTTTCCTCCCTCTCCTCAGTCTCCTCAGGATATTCCTCCGCTTTGACTGAATGAGAGGACCGTGAAGATGACGAACTGGATCTGGATCTCTCACGTACCCGACGGTGTTTCCTGATACAAAATGGAGGTGAGGGTGACACCAACAGGGTTAATAACTCAATCATGACTTGTCTGCTACAGAACCATTTCTTTACCAAATCCTGTCAATACAATGCTCTCCTTTTCCTACTACGAAAAGCAAAAGCCTTTTCATAAGAGCTCAGGATCAGCTACAACACACAGATCTAAGACACATCCCAAGTCTTCTCCAGAAAGAACTTGTTGGTTCTTTTTAAGGTACTTCTATGAGATAAACATGCATCTACAGAGTTTTAGTCAAATGGAAAATTAATCTAACAGAAAAGGATTAAATTAACATTAAAGCAAAGTCATTTAAACATGGCTGCTCTCTACAACACAACAGGAACAAGAAGGAAAAATGACTCACCCATTCTGACACATGGAGCCTTCTCATTTACCTTTAACAATATTTAGTGTTTCAGACAGATATAGTAATATCAAGATGACACGCAGAGGAATAATTCACGCCACTGGAGGAGTTTAAGTCAAAAGGTGTACAACTGTATGTACGCGATGTCTTATCCAACCTTAATAGCAAAAATATGAAAGGCAGAAGGAAATGGCTATTAAGTTTCCTACATACTTTTTCTTTGAGCCTTTGTGACTTTTCTCCGTTTTCTCAGTTGATCTTTCCCTTGAGTGACTTGAATCTCTTGAGTCCACTGATTCTCTGGATTTATCGCGTTTAAGATCTCTTTCCTTATGTTTTTTACGGCGTTCAATATCAAGGCGCAGGTCAACAGGGTCGTCCTTATATTTCCCTTCAGCCTACAAACGCAGGGAAGAGGGGAGAGTTTAATAAAAGCTTTGCAGCGCACTAGTTCAGCACCATTACTTTGCTATTGATTGCACAGACTTCTGGAGAACAGGAGTTTATCTAAATACTAATCAATAATCCATTTTAAGATGTAAAATAACGCACTATTAAAATAAGTTTATTTGTCAGGCTTCAATTTTCCTACTGCTTTTTAAGATGACTGCTTTTTTTCTCTCCTCTTTTAAACAGCATTAGAATAGCGTAGTAATAGGGGAGGGAGAAACACAGAAGCTGACGCTTATTGTACACCACAGCCAGTGTGAGATGAGAACAACTTGGAAATCCAATCCAACTGATTATGTATCAGAACTACAGCATGTCAAAAATGTCTAACAGCCCATGGACGTTTGTCACTGAACAGCAGCATGCTCGCCATCCTGCTGACAGACATCATCTAGCAGGGTGGAAGGAATTTTAATCACCAGGTCTGGAAACAGTACTTAAGCAGAAGCAAAAGCTGTTTGCTGCTTGGAGATACCCAAGACAGCGATTACTAATCAAAGTGGCAAGCGACACAGGCGGCTGAAATGCGGCAACCAGATGCATCTGGGAGAATGCCAACATCCCACTGATATGTAGCCTTTAATTCGTCTGTCAAGAAGATTTACTCTGTGGCAGACGTCACCTATAGCACTCCTTCCCCCTCGACTGGAAGGCACCATGTGAAAGATGCCAAGAAGTCACTAGGTCTGTAAGTACGTGTTTCTCCACGTAATCCTAGCAAGTCTACTAATGCAAGCTACCCCTGCTGTTTCACAAAGCAAAAGCCAACCAGGTGTATGAAAAACACTCAACAACTGGCTTTCCCCCCCCCCATTGTTAATTTGAAAAAAAAATCTGGTAATGCTTGCTTTGAGTTCTATTTAAATTGCTGCTTAAATAATGGATTTTTTTTGAAAATGAGAAGTTGTGTTGCCTGTGTATACTTTTAAGACCAGTGGTACCTGGATGAGATTCTGCTCACTACACATACCCAGCAGCAAACTGACAGTGGCTGTGGTTCTGACAAGCATTTAACCAAGTAGCAGTACGTCTGCAGGAAGTCTGTACACGATATTGCTAGCGACAACATGCAGCCTCCGTGGCTGTGCTCAGCAATTGCTACTTCATTTACACAATACTCATCTTGGGAACTGTATGACTTGATATGCAACATACATGATATTAATCATCTTGAATTAAATACAAAAGGATTAGTAATTCTCTAGCTATTAAATTTTTTACTTACATGAGTTTCTAAACACTTTTTTGTTTAAATAAATATGCCAAATAACGCAGAAGTGAGAGCAGGCGTTTTGTTTTGGTATTTTGCTCTTCTACTTTCCCCAGGCAAAGAGCTTTAATTTCTACTCTGAGAATAAAACTGCTCCCAACACGATGGATGACAGATAAGTGACAAAATCAGCAGCAGCTCCCTTATGTGGCACAGCAAACACCTATTTGGGTTTGTGAGGGCACGTCTGTTTCACGGAAGGCTGGCGAGCTGTTTGGAAACCACGTTTATAATACACTCTGCCAAGCTGATGCTCAGAGTTCAGGCCCATCAAATCCATCTCACCATCGTCCATGTCAAGCCACAAGTGTGTTTGGAAAAAATCGAAAAC